GGAAGCAATTCAATTAATTAAAGATAAGAGAATATCGGTAAAAGATGCAGTTACACAATATTCTATCCCGGGACGAACGCTGTACAATCACATGAATGGTCAACACACGAGAAAAGTAGGGCGTGAAACGATTCTGTCTCGTGACGAAGAATCACATCTTGTTAATATTATCAAACGTATGCAAGAATATAATCATCCAGTCTCTAACGGTGATGTTATACAGCTAGGAAGATTATACATGCTGGAATTAAAGAAAAATATTCCAGAAAGTTGTCCAACCAAAGATTGGTTTTACAGTTTCATGAAAAGATGGTCAGATAAACTTAAGATTATGAAAAGTGTTAAATTAGAAAAATGTAGAAGCGACGCATTACCGATTGAAATACTGGACAGTTGGTTTAATAAATTATATGTTTTACTGACAAAATTACAGCTGTTCGATAAGCCTGCGAATATATTTAACTGCGATGAGAGCGGTTTCTGTGAAGATCCCGGGACAAAATCTGTTGTTGTAAAACGAGACACTCGATATCCAAATGCTATTCATGGGGGCTCAGGTAAAGAACAAACAACTGTTTTATTATGTATATCAGCTAGTGGAAGGTAAAACAGAGCTTGAATATGTGTTAAATAACTATATTACTGCCTTCGCTCTTTTAACTACTGCAGATGTCTTCCTCCTTACATCGTCTACAAAGGTGAAAGGCTGTACAATAACTGGTGTCCGAAGAAAAACTACCCTGGAACGAGATATAACACATCAGAAAAAGGCTGGATGAATGAAAATACATTTTTTGATTGGTTTCAAAACTTATTTTTGAAAGAAATCAAACATGATCAACGTCCAATTTTATTATTAATGGATAATCATTTTTCTCACATTAGTTATCGTACAATGAAATTGGCGTTAGATAATGATGTACACATTCTATCATTACCCCCTCATACCACGAATGTTCTTCAGCCTCTCGATGTGTATACGTTCAAGGTTGTGAAAACGCACTGGAGAAAAATATTACAAGATTACTACAATAAAAACAATGGTGCTAAACTGGATAAATCTGTTATCCCTCTATTGTTAAAACAACTATATTCATATTCGTTACGTCCAGCTTACTGTGCTGGCGGATTCACCAAAGCGGGGATATTTCCTTATGATAAACGTGCAATTCCTAAAGAAAAGATAACGTACTCATGCAATAACAATAAAAAGAAACGGACACGAACCGTATCAAATGAATGCTTGCCCTCATCATGTGGCGAAGCAAGCCCTGTTAATAGTAATCTCATGTCAATGAATCACAAAAGTATTGGAATTCAATTACGAAAATCTCCTTCAGCACCATCATTATTAATTCAATCACGTATGCGACTTCATTTCTTGCTGCTTTTCATTCATATGTATTTTTCCGTGTATTTCTAATGCATAGATGCCAGTTCTACCACGACTTTAACTTCTTCACCATTAGCACAAACAACTACAACAACGTTATGTTCATTGCCACTGCTGTCGGCTGATATTTCTATACCAGTGGGAACTTCTAATTTCTTGACAACCGACTCTACATCGGCTGTTCCACCGACAATTGATACATCATCGTTGATAGCCAACTCACTAACGTTACTCAATTCATCTGAATCGCATTCTAGTAAGATTTTATACTGACATTCTAAGAACTTTGGCGAACAGAAATATATTTTCCATTGTTCTTGTAGATATGTCTGCTCGAAAAGACTTTTCCAGTTCACCAACTGTAGCATTTGAGATACCGTCCTCACCTCAAAGTAAGTTAATTGATGTCTTTTACTAA